CGTAAAAAGTAAATTTTAATTTTTAACAAATGGGCCTGTTTGCTATTATTTTTTATCTCTCATGTTTTTTGTTGTTGTTTGAAATTAAATGTACTGTAATAAATGGATTTTGTACATATGTGGATATACATGCACAATGTAAATTGTAAGAAAAAAAATACGTGGACCTCTACAAAGTGACTGTGTGTGTTTGTGTGTGCGCGCGCGCGTGTGTGTGTGTGTGTGGGAAGTCAGTCTCCTGAAGATGAACAAACATGTAGGCTACTCATTTACCGACTGTGGTTTTAATAAATCTCTGTTTGGATCCGTGACAGTGGAGATTTCTTTTCATTCTCATTTCTTCAACTTCACATGAATCGAAAACAGCAAAACGGGACGGTTGTTTTTCTTCGTTAGAAATATGAAGAATGTTGGTTTTAAAAATGGCAATAATTGTTATTCTGTTCCTTGTAGACGCATTCAAATATAAAGGTTGGGGAAATGATCTCAGTGGGATTTAGTTTTGTGTAAAGAATGAAAAAGGCACAAACGTTTCTCTTGTGAATGAATAAAAACTATAAAAAGTGTAACAAGCATTTGAGTTCCACAAGTTCTGCTTCTGATGGTGCACAAACTCACACACACTAAAGAAAGAGAGCACACATAGAAAATATATTAAACAAATGGATAAAAAATAAACAGATCCAAGTGCAAACAGTTTAATAAATGATGCTCCAGCTAATAGTCGCATCCCATATGGCTGAAAAACTCTGCAGACATTAATCTGACCAGAAGAAGCTCCACACAGTGACTGTCATCTCCTGAAACTCACGGTTTCTCATGTATTAACAGTATTATGGGATCTGGGTGGGGGTTGAGGGTTGTTGGGTGGTGGTGGTGGTGGGTTGAAGCTGTCAGATAATATGTTCCTCGAATAGATGAGGATGGGAGGAGTTTCGTGCCTCGAGGGGGAAGGTAGACGCAAACACCTTCAGCATCTCCCTCTTTTTCTTTTTTTTTTTAATGCTTTTCCACTTTTAACGTGGAGCCGCAGCCTTATGGCGAAGCGCGCAGGGGAGCGAGGAGCAGCAGTCCGGCACAGGAGCGGAGCTTTACTCTAATATGGGATTTCAAGGCGTGTGTGGACGTGGCAGGCACATGCACACTTCTTTGAGCTCTACACCGATCAGGTAAGACTCCTACTTTACTTCTTTCTCTCCTTTAAATGATACCAATGGATATTTATTTGTTAAAACTTATCCACTGTGCGCAAAAGTCCACTTTTCCTCTCACATCGAATTTCTAAAGTGGTTTAATCGTTAATCACTTTGTTTGTTTTCAGCTGCTTTCAGTGACACCAACTTATATTCAGTTATACAGAATTACACTTTTACATATATTCCTTTAAGTCATATTCTGACTGACAGAGTCTTTAGAAAATTCAACTCAAGGAGAATAAGTAAAAAACCTTTTCCTTTTATTTTATTTCTTTTAATGAAAACACAATTTTGGACACTGAAATATTTATTAATGTTTAAGAGATACTGTGTCTGTGGTTGTGAGCGATGAGACGCAGCTGGAATTCAAGGACACAAGCAGCCAATTGCATTAGGCTGCCAAATGATAAAGAATGGATGCCTGCGTGGCTCAACATCAGACAGCACCGCTTATAGCTCCATGTTTCCAGGCCTGATTTCATCCACCATGTTTTCTTTTATTTACTGTTTTCTAATAATCGAATGTCTTCACGTGCTTCGTGCAGGGAAGGCTGCTGAACTCGAACCACCTACTGAGGGTTTCCACTTTATTTCCCCCCTGAGCGGAGTAGAATGCAAAGATGCCAATCCTGCAGAAAGAGACGGCCAGAGACCGAGAGGACCAAGTATGAAAACATATCACTGACTATATCCTGGATCAGTTTTTTCTGCTGCTCATCATCCTCCACATTAAGATGCCCTGCTGAGAGCTGTCGCTGTCCGCGGTGCTGAAGTTCACAAACAAGCGCTGCTGGGTTTCAGCACCAGGGACAGCGCCACCTTCAATTACATAATTGGCCGCTAGGGGCGAAAATTGCACAGCAGGCTCTTCATCCACTAGAGTTTGGAAACCTTCGTCCCTTTATTTATTTTATGGTGCAATTATTTGATAAACTCGGAGGCAGTTGAGATTTATATTACACTGTTGTTGCATTATCAGTATTCTGGTTTAACTGTTTCTGAAAACAATTTGTGGGGTTTTGTTTCTTCCAGGTTACATTTTATGTATCATTGCAGATATTTCAAGTGATTACTACACGGTCCTCATTTCCAGGAATCCACAGCTACATATTGTACTTATTGTACACTTCCAATGTTCTGATCAATATTAACATCTTAGTTTTACAACTGTATCCAGCACACAAATGATCAAACACCACACACATATTAAAATGAATTAGCATTCTTCCCATGAGGCTGTGGAATCTATTCTCAAACAGGCCTTAGAGGTTTTAGGATGAATTATTAACTCTGCTTCTAATAATAAAAGCGTAAAAGAAAAGATGTGAGGGATTTCTTACTTTAACGAGGGGCATATTTAATGCTAAACTGCTGCTGTCCTTTCATTACTCCGTATGTGTATTTATGCCACTCGACATCAGGGGCTGCCAAAGGTCCCAGTGCCCCCGCTGAAACAAACCCTGGACACGTACCTGAGGTGCGTCCAGCACCTGGTGAAGGAGGAGCAGTTCAAGAGAACGAAGGCCATGGTGGAGAAGTTCGGGGCCCCTGGGGGAGTCGGAGACCAGCTCCAGAAGAAGCTTTTAGAGAGGAGGGACAAAACGACCAACTGGGTAAATTGTCACATCTACACCACAGAAAAGACGCTGCTGCTGTTTGCCTTTGCAGAAAAAAACACAAATGTATGCCTAAATCAATTAAGATATTTGAAGTGGTAATATATGTTGCTGTGAAAGACTCAAACAATGCAATATATTGAATTTGATATTTTACTATATCAGCTTTTGTTATTCTGCCAAAACAAGGTATCGGATTCCTCTGTTCTACTGAAAATAAAAACAAGCTCAGATTTAGTCTCCTATATAAGATTCCTATACATCATCCATTCATTTATAAGAGAGTGGAAAAACGGTGAACAACCTGGGGACAAAGATTTATCAGAGCCTCTGCTCGTCCTCTGTCGCTTCAATCTCTGCTCGTGCGTCTGGGTGATCGGTGAGTGCACATCTCATCCAGCTCAGTGAAATCTATCACACTCCCACTCTCACAATGACGATCTCTATCACTCTCTCTCTCATCTGGCAGTGATACACTCTAATGGTTTTTTGTTTTTGTTTGTTTGTTTGTTTCTTACTCTGTTGCCCACAGGGCTCCACTTTAGTGGTAATAACTTGAGTCCAAAACGTTAAAAGAAGAAACATCTCTTAAATTGCGTCCCTGTGCTTTTGTTATCCAGGTCTATGACTACTGGCTGGAGGACATGTACCTGAACAACAGGTTGGCTCTGCCGGTCAACTCCAGCCCTGTCATGGTGTTTCCCAAGCAGACGTTCAGAGATCAGAAAGACGCCCTCAGGTACGTGCTGCACTTCAGACAATCAAATATTTGCATGTAGCAAGTTATTTATTCACCCTCCTTTGTCAGACACTGAAGGTCTCTGAGATTCAGACTCTGTAGGTCAATGAAAGAATCGATCAAACTGTTTCCAAACATCACTGTAAGACAACATGTTCCAGATTTGTCCATTATCGAGTTTGACAGAAAATCATCATCATCAAATAGGGAGAGTCCTTCATGTGGGGCAATAGGCCAGAACACAAAAGTTATTTTTTTCACTGACAATTAATCTTACAATTAATTAAAAAAAAAACAACACTGAAATTCCAATCATTAAGTTGATCGACTAATCTCTTCATCGCCGCTGGACACATCTCATTCTTTAATATATCTGTTGCTCTGTGAGAAACAGCATTTAAAACCACTTCTTTGAATTAGGACATTTCAGTGAGGTACATAAATGGAGCATGTGGCACCGAAACAGTGACTGAAATCAGACTATGTGATGGTCACTTTGACAAATGTAAAATCAGGTTCACAGGACTGAACGTTACACATCATCACTAATGATAGAAAATCTACATGTTGTTCAGATCTGTAGCTGCTGACACGGTCTATGTTCTTCTCAGACACAGACTCAGATTAAGATCTGAATTACAGACATGGAAAGAATCACCGGCATCATCTCTCTGCCAAATCTCTGCCCGTTATTAAATGAGTGGTCAACCAGACATTACACCAGTCCATCCAGCCCTATAACTCAACATTAGCTTTTGTCAGCTTGTGCCGCACTAACTGAATATTTCCAGAGCCCCCCGAGCGGCTGGTAATCTACTGACACGGCCACTTATTAGATTGGGAGTGATGAGGCCAAGCTCTCCGCAGTGACTGCTAGTCAGGCCTCGTTTTGGGGTGTGGTGCGCTGCGGCCGCCTCTTTGTATTGATCTAGCTTTGAACGTAATAACAACAAGACGAATGACATACAGCACAAGATCTGACAGGGCTCTGTGTTTCCCTATTTGCCCGCACCTCCCACTCACACAGAGAGACTGCCTCTCTTTCGCCAACACAGGAAACACACACACAGCCAATCACTGTATCCAAGTAATTTGCCTTAATGTGATTACTGTTGAGATGAGAGAGCGTCTATTTGTAATCACCAGCCTGTCTGCTGTATGTTCAGTGATACAGCAAACTTCTTTTAAATTTGTCTTTTTCAATCTTCTAAGATTCGCTGCTCAACTCATCAGAGGCGCGTTGGACTATAAGGGACTCATTGATGAGTAAGTACCTTTGGAGTGAGGTCAGTCAGTTGCACATGAAAGTAAAGTGAAGTATAATAATGATGAGTCATGACTCTCAGATCTGACATTGTGTGATTACGTCTGTCAGGCGAGCGCTGCCGGTGGAGTCCGCTCGCGGGCAGTTAGCTGGAACCCCTCTGTGTATGGAGCAGTACTACCGCCTCTTCACCTCCTACCGCTACCCGGGGCTAAAGACAGACACGCTGAAGGTGCAGACGAACGCAGCCTCCTCTTCGGCGCCAGAGCACATCATTGTGGCGTGCAAGAACCAGGTCAGGACGCCAGAGTCTGGGGAGACTTTTTATGATCAGTCACACTTCTAACCTGGAGACAGGGAGAATATATGTAAATATAAATGTAAAAACGTATCATCCATCAACTGAAAAAGTTAAAATCTTTAAAAACGCTTGTGTCATGTGTAGTCTGCAAAGAAGAGACAATATTTTTGACTACGGGCCCGTCATGTGTGTTTGCAAATTAGCATTTTATACATTTATCTCATCGTGCCTATAAATGACCACAGAACGACACTCTTACTAATCATGTTCTGGGAATTATCAATCTGCGGCACACAGGTACAGTCCCCATGGAGATACAGGCAGTTAACAGAATTACTGTTGATTGAATCCACCACTTCACTGAGAGCTCCCTTGAACAGCATCTTTAAGGAGTCACGTTTTTTTTGAAGCACCATTTTTAGTTCCTGCCATAGTATCCTGGCTTATCTTAGCTACACCAGACTAATAACAGCATGTGGAAGTGGCATGGTTGTGGATATTTCAGGTGCATACTGTCTATATTTAGTGTTCCTGCTTTTCTTTCTAGTTTTTTGTGTTGGATGTCGTGGCGAATGGCAAGCAGCTCAACGAGATGGAGATTTTATCCCAACTGGAGAAGATCATGAAAATGGCAGAAAACGCTGAAGAGAGACTTCCTGCTTTTGGTATCCTGACGTCTGATGGGAGAACAGAATGGGCACAAGCCAGAGATGCACTGACAAAAGGTCTCGGCTCCGACATTTTTGATTTCTAATCCCAGCTACGATCACTTTCAGGAGTTCATCAATCATAAAACCTTTTCTAGAAGGAAATTCCAAAATGTGCCATATTTTTTCTGCTTCCTTCTTCCATCCAGAACAAACCAACAGGGACTCTCTGGCTCTGATCGAGAGCTGTCTGTGTGTGGTGTGTCTGGATGAACCCAGCGGCCTGGTGCCCAGTGACACCAACAGGGCCTTGCTGATGTTGCACGGTGGCGGCCGCGAGAAGAACGGGGCAAACCGCTGGTACGACAAGTCAATGCAGGTAGGACCACGTTCAGAGTTATTCAATAACGAATAAAGATTTTGCTCCTTTCGTTAATCAAGAGTCTCTCAGTTTGTTGTAGGAATGGACGGGACTTGCGGGGTCGTGTGCGACCATTCTCCATTCGAGGGGATAGTTCTGGTGCAGTGCTCTGAATACCTGATGAAATATATGTAAGTCAGGCCAGTGCTGTGACATGTAACCATACTTTTACCTCAAGAAATGCTGCTGAAGACATGTTTGAGACGTAAATGTTGATTTTTTTCAAACAGAACTGGGAGTCCCTCCAAGACGGCGAGGGCTTTCAGCATCAGAGAACTCCCCCCTCCAAGGAGACTCCTCTGGAAATGCAGCCCCCACGTCCAGGGTTTACTAACGGCATCTGGAGACAGACTCCAGAGGCAAGAACAGCACAAACAAACACATCCACTGATAAATAGACGTCTTTCAAGAGACATCAGGTCTAACATCTCTTGTGCTTTCTCCTTCAGGCTGGTGAATAATCTTGACATGGATGTTTTCAAGTTCACAGCTTATGGAAAAGAATTCATCAAAAGGCAGAATATGAGTCCAGATGCGTTTATACAAGTTGCATTACAACTTGCATTTTACAAGTAAAGAAAAAAAATTATTTTATCCATGTTTCAATTTTATAAAAGATCCCTTGGTCACATCCTGGTCATATCCCCATGATCCTGTCCGTCATGTGCTCAGATGCAGAGGAAGGCTCGTGTCCACATATGAGAGCGCGTCCATCAGGCGTTTCCAGGAAGGTCGGGTAGACAACATTCGCTCTGCCACCCAAGAGGCCCTGGCCTTCGTGAAGTCCATGACAGACGAGAGGGTCAATTTCTCCGTGAGTCATTTTTCTCACTTTGACCCCAATTACTGAGTAACTCCCATATTACTGCCCATCACGCCGGCTTTAATGAAACAGGTGCGATCGGCCCCCTCGGCATGCCAAACCCGGAGTCTCCATTCAAACAGATGATCTCCCTGCAGATTTAACAGAGCTATGAAACATGTATTTACTGGATGTACTGTTCTCTTCAACAGGACTCAGAAAAAATGAAGCGATTGAGGGATGCAATTAAGTCCCAGACAAATTATACAATTGCAGTAAGTATTTTAAAACACTTCTTATGTAGAATGGCACTTATATCTCCACAAAGGCCCGACAGTCTCATTGAATTCAATCAATCAGCACCAAATTACACACACATAGAAATCAGCTATATTATATATATTCCAGTGTTAAAGAAAGTACAAAGAAATCCTGGATCTGCTCCCAGTTCTGGATCCACACCAAAGGGAAAAACTTAAGCCCAGAATTGGGTGATAAAGTTTGTGGTCCAACTGCAACTGAGGTGGTTCACTGAACATCCACAGTTCAGTACTACTTGAACAGTACGGTGGAAAAAGTACTTTATACAAAACTAGGGCTGGGCCTTAATCTAAAAGACGTCGTTAGCACTGAGTAAAAATATAAAACTGTCTTTCAGGCGATTACAGGAATGGCTATAGACAATCATTTCCTCGGGCTCCTGAGAATCTCAAGGGAGATGAACATGGAAAAGCCAGAGATCTTCTGTGATGAGACGTATGTGGCCAGTAACCACTTCATCCTCTCCACCAGTCAGGTAACATGGCATCCTTCGACATTTTAACATGTGACCTTGTTTTGCTTACAGTTATTGCTTTAAAGTTCAGTCTCTGCTTGCACTTTGACGTCAACATACAGAGTGGATGAAGATGAAAAATAAAAACTGATGCTGATAGTATTTAACTGCTTTACATGTTATTAATTCAATGTCTTCCCTTTCCTCCTAATTTCTGTCAGTTTCTAGTCTTTCTCTTGAGGTTGACCCTGACTGTGTCCTCCCTTCTCCAGGTTCCGACCACAGTGGAGATGTTCTGTTGCTACGGCCCTGTGGTGCCCAACGGCTATGGCGCCTGCTACAACCCGCAGTCAGACCACATCATCTTCTGCGTGTCTAGTTTCTGGGAGAACACAGAGACGAGCTCGGCCGTGTTCGTCAAAGCCCTGAACGAGGGCCTGCTGGAAATCAGGGACCTGTGCAATAGAGGAAGCGCTGCAGCGGCCAAACTGGTAGAAAGCAGCCAAGGAGCCGCTCTGCCTCATAAATCAGGGAAGTAAGCCATACTGAGACTTGTACTCTTAGACTTAGATTTTAGCTTTAGACTCAGTAGTTGAGATGCCTTCATCTGTCTTTGTTGTCTGTGCAATAGTGTTCCCTTCACAACAAATGCAAAGCCTTAAAAGTTCACATACAGTATAGTATGAACATCTTTAAAAAATGAAGAAACATAGTTTTCTTTTGGGTCTGTGTGGACATCAGAATACGTTCTGCTCCAACACTGACTCTGCTTATCTCAGTAGACTTGAGATTAACTGGTCTGCTGCCTTTAGGAAACTGAAGCCATGTCTGCTTTGTAGCACTGATGTGAGGGGAAGGTCCTCTGTCAGAGAGTTATTAAACCAAGTGATCGCAGTATATACAGACGGGCGACAAATTAAAGGAAATGCCCGGAAACAGGACGACATCCACATGAACGGGAACTGAATCCTGTGCTTTGAAATCAACGGTCACCAGATTTCAACCCCACATCACCCAGGGAGGGAATATGCTTTGGCAGAATGTTGTTCAAGCGTCCAGCAGAGCTCCAGAGATTCAATACCAAGGCTCCGTGAAGCCGCTCTGGTGCCGCTTGGCCTTGAGTTTCTCCCCCGTCTGTATTTCACACATGTAACCGTAGAGTAGTAATGCAATAGACATGACAGGATTATGTTTAAAAAAATAATAACAAAGTGTATTTTCTTGACTCACAACCAACATGACATCCTGTAAATGTGACCTGTTTCACTGTGTGTGCCACCGTGTTCTCAACAAACTGGATCAATGGTTCTATTTTCTTCTTAATGTGTTTAAACATGTGAAGTGATCCTACTGACGCCATTAAGTTGCCAAAGAGGTCGTGCATATGTGACGTCATGTGATTATCAGGCACTTTAAGATATTTTAATGTGAAGATGTGAATGAATACGTGTAAAACATAGAGGACTGGTTAATAAGTATTGTGTGTGTGTAGAGAGAAAACGTGATATGGTTTCAGTGACACATCTGAAGCCGTCTCATTTGTTCTGCGTGTTTGAGCTCGATATCATAGCAATAGTTAACGTGTAAAGTGACCAGAGCTAGTTTATAAGTAAGATACAGTCCAGTGGTGACTAGGCGAGGCAAACCACTGTGTTCCAATGTACATGAGTGCTTTCTATTTGCACGTAGAGGTAGAATGAGGGTAGTGATGTATTGTATTGTAGGTACTTTGTGCAATAACTTAAGTGCAGTGTGGGTGTATGTGCAATTTACCACATCAATTCATTAGATGCATGGAGCTGATATGTAATATACAGTTGCTATTTTTGATATTTGATATTTCAGAAACAACAGAGTGATGTTATAAGAATTATTGCAATCTGCATGCATGCTGGTTTGGTCAAAGTGTACCGTGACTTCAATTGTGGGTCTTGTTTCAGTCTGTGGTTCGTGTTGCAGCAAATCGAACCCTCGTGGTGAAAGTGTGATACTTGTCGTCCCGTGTCCAGACGATGACATTTACTGTGTGTTTGTTACGTATTCGTATGCATCATCAGCCAAAGTGAATGTGAACCACGTCGATGGTTTCAAAATCCACACATGCATGTTTATTCTTACATACTAAATGTATTTTTATATGTCCACATAAAGAGTTTTAATAATCATATAGAAAATATGGTTTGTGCGTATAACAATGATGCCTTAAATGACAGTGTTGCAAACTGTTACAGATGTAAGATTCTATAAATGTTTAATGTTGATTTGATCGACTTGGTGTTTTCTGTCTAATCAGAGTGATACATGTAAATGAATGTAATATTTGTCGGGTGTAACTCAGTGGAATTTCCCCATTTCTCTCGTTCTTATTCTATCTATAGTATTAATGTGCACTGATAATAAAGTTACACTCATCTTGACATCCACATCACTACACCTAATGTGTAACACATCATTAAATCATTAAATATTTCATGAATGTTTGGTAGAAACTCTAATGTATTTTTACATTTCTTTTTCCTTTTGGTCGGTGGTGTAATGTCCTGGAACGTATCTGTTCTATGTTCATGTGCAACTAAAATAAAGTATTCAATTCAATATTTAGCTGATAGAAGACAATGCCATTTTAAGCTGTAATAGAACTGTTGTGAACCTCAAACTGATAATTGGAACCAGAAATAAAATAAACTTTAAACTATCATGTCTCTTATGTCAGTATTTTTTCTTTTTTAATTTGAAACCCTTTTTAGCTATGATTCCCAAATCTGTTTTTTGGCGTAGTTCAGTATGATGACTGTCAGACATTACAGAAAAAATCAGGTGCTGTGTTGTTGTCTTAGGTTGTTGTTATATGATGGATTCAGAGCTACGGTTAAAACAGAACATCCTTTAAGTGCTTTTTTAAATCTACATTCTGATGTTAATGGAGAACAACCTGATACCTTCCAGCCTGCTTCATTTTGTTGGCCTGTCATCTGTGATCCATGTTGTCCATGCAGTAATCAGTGTATCTAATGTAATAATAATATATATATATAAATATATAAATATTCTTAACTTAGACATGAGTAGATCCAAAATGTAATGTTAACTTTAAATGTGAAATGGTAAATATTAACTGCAGAGCTGATATTTCACTCTGTTTAATTTCTTGGCATTTACTTAAAAGTGACTCATCAGAATGAGTTGAGTAAAACATTGCACAACAACAGAGTTCCTGATGTTTTCTGATGCTGGGAATGTTTGTTCACATCAGAAATGGTTGTTAATGGCAAAATAAACAGAAATCCTGTCACATCCTGTTACAGCTGTATGTGTTTCCTGTACTGTGCCCCTCTCCTCCAGCTCCACCCTGATTAAACCAATCAGTCATCAATGAGGGGCACCTGGTCTGTGGCTTGAGGTTCTTTAAAAACTCCTGTGTCAGGATCAGAAGGAGGCTTCCAGTGTGGGGACTGCTGCGCCTCAGCTTAGCATTTTAACATTGTGTGTATTGTATTGTTTGATGATAAATCTCATGGTTCTGCTGTTTTAAAAGCTTCTGATCTTGATTTGTATCAGTGGTGGTCAGTGATTTTACATGTTGTTTGCCTCATGGGGCCACATAATCGTGGGGCATAACAATTGCGTGCTCGTCCAGCATAGAACATCCATGAGGTGAAGTAAATGTTTGTGTACATTGTCTGTAATCGACTTTGTTTAAGTGAATGGATCATCTCTAGATCACTTGTGGTTGTTGCTATGTGCAAATGCTTTTCACTGGGTGCTGTGTTCCTTGCTGGGTGTTTGAGACCATCCTAATTATTTAGACTCTGGACAGACTTGAGTCTGCTGTTCACTGACTGAGTTAAACGTTTAAAGAAGCCTCCTGGGGAGCCACTGAAGACGAGCTAGGCTAGTTAACCATCTTGTTAGGCAAATGGGGGTCGGGATGCCTCAGCACTTTGTGATCTCTTGTGCAATGACTCTATTTTGTTTGGTCCCTGTCTGTTATTGATGCTTTTGTCTGTGATTGATGCTTTTGATTCCAGTAACGTGTGTGTGTGTGAGACCTTTTTGTGTTGTAACTGCTCTCTGCATTTGTTGGATCACTTCTTGGTTGCATAGTTTGTTCACTTATGTGCTACTGTTGTGTTGAATTGCAGCTATGCAGAATTGTTGCGAGCTGTTGGTGTGGGATGTTGTCAAGGTAGATTGCGTTACATTTGTTCTGTGATTTGTCCACCTCATGGTGGTAGCCATTTTGTGTAAGGTGGGAGTGGCATCCACTTGTATGGCTACTTGTGTGCCTGCTGCTCACTTTTAATCCAGCAACAGTAATTAGTTGGCCCTCCTTATTGTTTGTGCAACCAACAGCAGTCCCCCATTTGCATTTTGCTGCATTAAATGCAAATTTACGTCAGGGTTAGGTTTGAAGTCTTGTGTGCTGAGATATATAAACATATATAAATGCAGTCAGCATTGGCCCACATGCTAAGAAAAATTGGTGTTCAGAGTTTTGCAGATGGTTTCTGATGTACATCAATCTGACTTGCTAACATACAGCCTCAGTAATTGTAAAATGCATTGCAATGAATACATGGAATGCAGTTCTTAATTAGTGAATTTGGATTTAACTATTGATTTACTGTTTTAAGGGTGGGGGGGTTACAGCTGTATGTGTTTCCTGTACTGTGTCCCTGTTTTTCTCTTGTCTCTCATCCAGCTCCACCCTGATTAAATCAGTCATCAATGAGGGGCACCTGGTCTGTGGCTTGAGGTTCTTTAAAAACTCCTGTGTCAGGATCAGAAGGGGGCTTCCAGTGTGGGGACTGCTGCGCCTCAGCTTAGCATTTTAACATTGTGTGTATTGTATTGTTTGATAATAAATCCAATGGTTCTGCTATTTTAAAAGCTTTCTGATCTTGATTCTTATCAGTGGTGGTCAGTTATTTTACATGTTCTCCTCATGGGGCGTAAGACATCCTGACTCATTAAGCAAACAAGAACAAATCAACTCCAACATATTAACATGTCCAAACACAGTGCTAAACTAACACTGTTGTAAAGTAAACCCTTCCCATGATGATCAGGCTTGAACTGGAACAACCGGGCTCATTTTTGCGATGCCTTGTCTGTTTTGCAGCACGGCCACCTCTCCAGCACACTCCCAACAGATGGCATTGTTCCGCTGGCATCTGATAAGGTCTTCAGGGAGAGACCCAAATTTAATTCTCCATCGGTTAAACCACTGAACCAAGTTGACGAAGTGCCCAAAAAACATTAAACATTTAGTCAAGCTTCAGTGAACTGGGCCAATGAAAATAAATCCTGTTAGACTCAGACAGATTAAAAGAAATGGTTCAGTGTGTTAGTGGTAACAAACTGTCAAGTTCTACTGGCTTGTTATCATCTCTGAAATCAATGGCTTCGGGCTTAGTTACAATATCACTGCTGATCTAAGAGGCTGGTTGAACTAGATTTACATAGATATGATTTTTACTTAAGCAATTTGACAATACGCTGCAATGTTTCAGCACATCAATTTGGACAAATAAGAGCCACTTAAACCAGTTTCTTTCAACAACCTCCTTCTGGATATCAATGCTCAGACATTTAGTGTTGCCCTCAGGTCGTCACATGAATGAATCAAGAGTCCAAAAAAGCTAGAGAGAAAAGTTCAGAACCTGCCTCCATCCTCACATCTGTGCCATCATGGTCTAAATGTCAGATCATGTCTCACAAATAGCTGCTAATTTGACAGTTACATGGGGAAAGCAGGGTTTTCAGAAGCTATCTGACTGGGTGACAAATATTTCTGAGTGATTATACTGGGCCTTTAAGTCACTGTGTAAAGTTTAAGAGAAGGTTGAACAGATTAACTGTTGTCACCATAACAACAGAAGCATCTATAGAGAAGTGTGGTGATCTCACTCACCATCTTGTCCTTTTCTTGTTAAAAAGACTCCAAGATACTTGAAGCTCCTCATTGGGGTAGAACTTAACTCAAAGGCCATCCTCTAATGAACCCAACATAACTGAATCAGTGGCAAACAGAACACTCTCAACTTCTCTGCTTTGTCAGTGACTCTGTGAATTTTAGAAACAAAAGCTGAGACAAGACATAACAAAAGTTGATCCCAACGCCCACAGTGAAACTTGCTTTACTGATGTTAGGAACAAAGCTGGATGGCTTGAAACAACTAATTATTTATTTTGTCATGATCGTGAAGTAAATACTGTGTGGGATATGTCCTTACATGTAACTGGCCAATACAGAGCCTCATCAGATTAGTATTACAGTATTACGAGTCCATGATAACTAACTGATAGAGGATATACTATTTTAAATTCGATATATACTGATTTAATATACTATAATATAATGATTTCTCACTGATATATATGAATATAATTATAGGAAACCTAAATCCTAAACCTCATGAACACAAATGTTTCCTTTTATTTGTCCAGACTGAACTAATATGTTAAAGACCACTGTGAGGAAAACACACCTCACAGGTCTAATGCTGCCTGTCCAGCCCCGAGTCTATTGATAGAACATGATGCTTGGAACATCTAAAGCCAATGCCGGAGGCGACCGGTGCTTTCACTGCGTGAGAAGAAGCAAGTGACGGGGTTTGGCGTTGAGATCAATGGCGGAAGCCCACCTGGAGATGGATGATGGCTGAATATTACCGCTACTAAGTGTCAGCCACGCTGCAGATGGAGACCGGGCTTCACCTGCTGGCTGCTATCGACTGGATAGGGGAGCAGGGGGGAGCAGAGCTGTCCATCCACGTTCTCTCCTCGCTGCCCACGGGCCTGAGACTGTGAGGAAAGAGAGGCCGCTAAGGCTGAGGATGGAAAGAGCAAAGCAGGGCCAGTGGCTACGCTTTTGCACATAGACGCTCTCCCTTTATAGGTATTGTGCCTCAGTAGGATGCGTTCTGATGAGATCCACCGTCACACAACTAGAAACTTCTGATAATCTCAGCAGAAATTGGTACAAAATGATCGTAGGCTTCAGGAACATGATTTGAGTTTGTAAAATAGTGAAACACAGAACAGCAAATAGACTTTAAAAGTATGAACAGCTCTTTATAAAAAGCACAGGAGCGATCCAATAAAAAGTTAGATTTCTGTCTCCACAGCTGACCAGCCTCCAAAACCCACGAGCCTATCAGGTCTCACAAATCATGTGCTGTAATCACTAATCACTGTGTCGTCCTAATGAGCCTCTGTAATTGAACATGTGCACATGAATCAAAACTAACAGCTACTAGATTACAGCCCGACTCCATCCCGCAGCCAATTAGTTACACTGAACCTGTCATCCAAATGGGTTCCCCCGCACTATTAGCTAATTCAGAAGCAACAAGCAATGATGCAGCCATATTTGAAAATGAAACCGGGGTTGACATTTGCCCTCCAAAATGGAACAGAAAACCAAAAGAAATGTCCCA